ATGTTTTACATTTTATCACACTTTCACTGTATGGAGGAATTATGTCAGGTGTTTTCTTCTGAAAACCATAACCTGCATTATTCAACCAATCTTGCCCAAAAATAATATCCAAGTTTCTTGGCAAACTGTCAACAACATAGCATCTTTGTTTCAAAGGTTCTAACGTGTTTTCTATCTTTAACTCTATTTGACCTCTTACATTCATTTGGTTTCCTGTTATCCCGCATATTTTAATGTCCCTACCTTTCTGCACACTGCCTTTCGTCAGTGATGCTTCTTTTATTAATGAAACTTGAGACCCCGTATCTATGAGAGCTATTCCAAGCCCCCCTCTTAACTGTGGACTTACTACATACACTTCGTAATGTCCTAGGGAATCATTCTGGCTCATTTCCCCCGAATCGTTTCCTACGATTCCTATATGATCATTGTTCGTGCGCCTATTATTTTCTGTACTATTATTTTCTTTTGTGAGCTCACTTTTACTTTCGCAACCTATCGGGCGGGCTATCCTCGGTTGCTCAGGATACCCTACTGCCCATTTCCCTGAGAGCCTCGTGCTCTGCAGTCCTCGGTTACATGTCCGACCCTGTGGCATGTACCGCACGTAGGTTTATTCCTACAATCTCTCGCCTTGTGCCCTGCACGTTGGCATTTAAAACATTTCATAGAGGTTACTACATTCACCTCCCTCTTTATCTGGGGTTTATACTCTCTCCTCAAGTTTCCTATATTTCCTGGGTGTGGCCATGTCAAATTCCCAAAATTCCCTTTAATTCTTTGTGACTTAACTTCACTTTCTTCTTGTAACGCGGTTTCTACTAATTGTGCCAGAGAGTCTTCTTCTCCCCTAGCCTTTACAATGTATTTAATTCTGTCGTCTTTCAATCTGGCTACAAATGTGCCTTTCATAAATTCCGAAACGAGAATCACACCTCCTTCTATAGCATTTGGGTTAGTCTTTTCGATCCTATTTTTAGCTTCTCTCATCAGGTCTAATCCCATGTTGTCGATTCTAGACCCCCATTGAGCTACCGTTTCACTATTACTTTGTTGTGCTGTAAGAAGTAGACTGGCGTAGTACTCTAATGTTCTCTTAACTGCATAATTTTCTTCTAAAATGGCTTTCACTTGCTCCCATGTATTTCTTTCTGCTCGCGCTAACAATCTATCCTTAGCTTCACCAGTAATTTTTTACTCTATGAATTTTAATAGCAAGGGATATTTTGTCGGGTGTACTACTTGTCTTGCGGCTTCTACGCCTTCACAAAATTCTCGTAAGCACTTTGGGTTACCATCAAAACTTTTGGGAATTAACTTGACTGCCTGAACCACTGAAATATACTCATTTTCATCTTCTGCCATTATGGAATGAACTAACCTTGGAAATGGAAGAAGGAAGAGTAGAAGGAAGACTGAAGTTTGGATTGCTGAGACGAATTCCCTCGGGCTGTCCCCTCGCTCCTCTCGCGTCGGCGGCTGCTATCGGCTGACACCTCTGCTGTCCCTCGGGATTCAACAAAGATCGCTGATGACAGCTTCCTTCTACGGACCTGGCGGCTGCGTCCTTCCGAGTACCCCTGGCCTAGAGGTTCCTCCGGGACGTTCACTCCTCGAAGCAGGCTTGAATCCACCGTAGTTTCTTCAAGTCCTCCTGGCCCTTCCGTCGGCAGCCTCGTTGAAATAATATACTGTTTGATGTTGTTGCAATTATCCCACCAGCGCTGCCACCATGTTATGTTATTTATGCTCTTCTTGAAGTTTCCACCTCGACGTCACCTGGTGATGTTGGAATAGCTAGCTGTGGAGTGACGGAGATGATTCTTCAGGATAATTCTTCTTCTGGCGTGGATAAGTAAAGAAATCTAAGTTTCTTTAACTGCTGGTATATTTATTCACAACTTCCACCAAAATCCAAAGACCAAGTGGTAGAAAATACAGACAAAGGATGAGACTGAACTGCGATGAAACAGAGCTTCGCCCTCTGAGAGTCGAGAGTAAGATCTGAATATGGTGTACCCACGCCTGGCCCTTCTTATAGGATTAATCTGGGCGTTGGCTAAAAGGAATGCACATGTGGCTTCCACTGGTGAAACTCTAACTTTGACATTGAACAGAGTTCTCAGCGCATCAGCGTGAGAAGAAACGCATCTTTTAGAAAGTTTGTTTATCGATCCCAGATTAATCTTATAGCCCACTTAGAGAGAGAATATACTCTTTACATTCATGGTCTCACTGCTCCAAGTGGTGTGATTTCATCATAGCAAGCTCTCGCACTCTCATCTAATGATTATTAGGTCCTGACAGATTTGTGGTAATGGACCATCTGCATTACTCAACTCTGTAACTAAAAGGTTTCATACAGAGAGCCTTCTGTTTGGTATCAATGATGGCTTTTTACATTTGGTTTCTCTTATACTTCTTAATACAGTTTCATATTAGTTTCTCTATATTACTAATACGGTTAACAATACATTTAAAATATTCAGTTATTCACTACTTTTAAGCAATTATTGTTCTTGGTACATTTCCTTCTTATATTTAGTATGTTT